ATAAAAATTAATAATTTTATCCTTTGTTGGTGTATTTGAAAAAAATTCTATATATTGTATGTTTGTCCTGGAACGTACCATTATACATAGAATTTTTCCAGGACAGTCCTGGAAATCAACATTGTCCTGGAAGTGGCCATTATGCAAGTGTCTTGGAAAACTTTAAAAACGTAATATCTCAAAAACGGAAAAAAAATTGAATTTTTTGTGATCGGAATGTGTTTGAATCATAATCCTTTATTGAAATGCAGTAAAAAAACACGAGATTTTTAAGTGTCCCGGAACAAACCCTTTGACACACATATATATATATGTATATATTTATAAACATATTGATATATGATACTGATTTATTTTTCTATAAAAGAAACATTTAATTTATTATAGATGGAAAAACATGTAAACGGAATAGGAATACCTTTCATGATAGTCGGAGATCCGGCCTATCCATTTTTGCCATGGTTAATGAAGAGTTATTCTGGTTCACTTTTACTTGAAGAAGAATCATTTAATGTTTATTTCAATTCCGCAAGAGTTTCAGTGGAAATGGCATTTGGAAGACTGAAAGCCAGATGGAGGATGTTACAAAAAAAAGTGGATTGCAACTATAAATTTGTACCTCAAATTATAGTTGCGTGTTGTGTGCTGCATAACTTTTGTGAAGACAATAAAGACAGATTTCTTGAAGAATGGTTGCAACAGGTTAATGAGTTAAATGAAGTATTTGTGCAACTAAGACAACAAATAAATCGTGAACGAGATAATGTACGTTCTACTACTATACGAGAATATCTAAAAAATTATTTAGCTGCAAACTTTCCTCTTCGAAAAACGTTATTAAGATAAACAATTTAAGTGTAATACCTAAATGGTTTCAACTAATAAATCACAAATATTATTAAGTTCTTATTCTTTTCCATTATCAAATTTATTGATAAATGTATGTGTATGTATATAAATAAATATAAATAATAATAAATTTTTTTATTTATTTATTTAAATAACATTTTATATTATTTTATATATTTTAGTTTTTATATTTATTATATTTTAAAATAAAAATTTGTATTTTAAAAAATATTTAAAAAATATTCATATTTTAATAACATTTTATCTAAACACCCTGATAGCCACCTGTCTGCGTTTTTGCTGTCATGTTGCCGAAAACAAAACGCATGAGTTTTCAGCAAATTTAGAACAAGGTGAGTCAGGCATTTGTTTTTGGTTTGACATCACACATATTCAACATATTTTGCCGACAATTTGTCGTGTATTTGCTGTCAACGGTTTATCGCTGTATATAAAGAGCAAAGTGACAGCAAGTTGCCAACAACACATGCCGAGTCATAAATTTCAGCAAAAATGCAACAACATGTCGAAAACGGATGAATATATTTTTTGCATCTGCTTCAAATAATTACTCTTAGGGCTACGATCAAGTTCTGATGAAAGTAATCCGTTCGCGATGTATCAGTATATCGGTAGAAATGTTAATAACATTAAAAGTTAATCGTCGATTACTTTAATCAGAACTTGGTCAAAGTGGCTTTTGAAAAAATTCCATTGCCGATGGAAAATTGGCCAAAGGCAAATAAATTCAAATTTATTTAAAATCATGAAATTCTCATTATTTAAAATATTTTTACTTTTTTCTCATTCTATCATTTATTACCGTGAAATAAGCATATATTTAAAATAATAAGAATTCCATTGTTTTACATATAATCGAGTTTGAATTTTTGTATCACTAATTAATTTTTAATTGGCAGAAATATCAAAAAATGTTTGTTTCATAAATAAAATTAATCGGGAATAGATTTAGGACAAATAAAAAGAAATTTTTTTAATAATAAAGTACACACATTATTTGAATGAAATATACATATATATATTTATTTATATATATAAAATATATATATAT